AAAATCGAACAACTACCCTAGCATCATTCGTGGGGGTAGCAACAGCTTCTATCCACTTGGACACATAATCAACAGCTAGTAAAATATAATTCTTATCATACGAATGAGGGAATGGGCCCATGAAATCAATACCCCATACATCAAAAATCTCAAATATTACCTGTCCTCTGATACTTATCACAAATCTGAGCGAAGATATGTGCATCATGGAATAGAGTGGGCCAGAAGAACCCGCTTTGAAGTACCTTCGCTGCGGTCTTTTGTCCAACGAAATGCCTTCCATATAGAGACATATGACAAGCCTCCACAATTGCTTTTTGCTCTTCTTTCGCTACACACCTGCGAAGGATTCCGTCAGGACCAAGTTTGTACAAAAAAAGCTCATCCCACTTATAATATCTCACATCATGAAGAAACTTTTTTACCTGCTGCCTGCTGAACTCATGGGGAATAATGCGACTTACCAGATAATTTGCAATGTCAGCATACCAAGGGACATTTTCAATGCGAAGTAATTGCTCATCAACGAATTGTTCTCGAATCTCTGCTTGACCTTCCTGAAGTGGCGACTCGAGCCTAGACAAGTGGTCGACCACTTGGTTCTCCGTTCCTTTTCGGTCCCTTACTTCTATGTCAAATTCTTGAAGTAGCAAAATCCATCGTATCAAACGTGGTTTTGCATCCTTTGCAAACAAATACTTTAGAGCATAATGATCAGTATAGACAACTACTTTTGTCCCTATCAAGTAAGACCTAAACTTATCGAAAGCAAACACAACTGCTAACAATTCTTTTTCAGTAGTGGTGTAGTTTAGTTGTGCTCCCGTTAAAGTCTTACTTGCATAATATACTGGATGTAAAATCTTATTCCTTCTTTGACCCAACATGACCCCTAAAGCATAATCACTAGCATCGCACATAAGTTCAAAGGATAATTCCCAGTTAGGTTCTATAATGATTGGAGCCGAGCTCAAAGCAGTCTTTAAAGTTTCAAAAGCTGTCATGCAAGCATCATCAAACACGAATGGTCTATAATTTTCCAAAAGTTGGCAAAGGGGTTTCGAAATCTTTGCAAAATCTTTTATAAAACGTCCATAGAAACCCCCATGACCTAAAAAACTTCTTATTCCTTTAACATTTGTAGGAGGTGGTAATTTTGAAATAACATCAATTTTAGCACGATCCACCTCAATCCCATTTTTCGAAATCTTATGGCCTAAAACTATCCCTTCTTGTACCATAAAATGGCTCTTCTCCCAATTTAAAACAAGATTTGTTTGCTCGCATCTTTGTAAAACATTTTCTAAATTCAATAAACAATCATTAAAAGAATTTCCAAAAACTAAAAAGTCATCCATAAAAACCTCAAGAATATTTTCTACCATATTCGAAAGAATGGCCATCATACACCGTTGAAATGTCGCCGGTGCATTGCATAGACCGAAAGGCATACGCCTAAAGGCAAATTTCTCATACGGACATGTGAACGTCGTCTTTTCCTGATCCTCCGGAGCGACGGTAATCTGGTTATATCCCGAATATCTGTCTAAGAAGTATTAAAACTTCTTATCTGCAAGATGATCCAACATTTGATCAACAAACGGGAGTAGAAAATGATATTTTTTTGTTAGCTTGTTTAGTTTGCAATAGTTGATGCAAACTCTCCACCCAACGGGAGTGGAAAATGATCTTTTTTTGTTACCTTATTTAGTTTGCGATAGTTGATGCAAACTTTCCACCCATTCACAGTTYGGGTTGATATAAGTTCATTTTCGTCGTTTACCACCACTGTCATGCTGCCCTTCTTTGGTACGCATTGTATTGGGCTTGTCGCAACGTCATCGCAACGCGGAGCGGCCGACGTCATCCCCTGACGGGTCTCTTTCGAGATTAGGATTTGGAGTCGCCACCAATCATCTACGAGGTGTGATTGGTCACCTATTTAAAAAAAACTTGGTCTACGAAAATAGAATTTTGGTTCGGGAGTCGGTTGAGCGTAGGGAAGGTGTTAACACCCTACGACACCCGTTCGAAAACGGTACCATATTTTGTCAAAAATTATCCTATTATACTTTGATCCAAAAAGAAAAATACTTTTGTGTTTGAGTGGCGCAAAGACCATTAGAAAAACAAATTATCACCTCGAGAATATTGGAAAGATCCAATTTCTGTCATTGGGATTTTCGAAATAATTATTTAGTAGAAAAGAAAAATTAATAAATAAAAAATAATTTTAGCGTAGAGGCAATCAAGACTTGAACTTGTGATGTTAGAGTCCATAGACAAATTTCTTACCAATGTGCCATCATCCTAAGATATTAYTTAATATTTTATATAAATGTTTTAAGATTTAAAATCTTATAAAAACGAAAGTTTTTTTTTAAATTAAAAAAACATTTTATCTAAAATAGTTGTTTGGTAAAATAATGATATAAAAAAAATATTAATTTAGGCAAGCAAACACTCAAACCAAAGACATGTGAATTACTCCTAAGTAACCTACCACTATGCCAACACCATATGATACAACTTAATATTAATTCTTATCATACAAATCTTTATTTAAAAAAAAATGTTAAAAAAATAAAA